CTCAAGATCACTAAGTAATGTTGATGCTATAAAACTTGAGAATGAAAAAACAAAAGTTATGTCAAAAAAAAATTATGGGCTGGTTTGGTCATTAGAAATGATAAGAATATAATAGATTAAAAATCAAAATAAAAATGAATTAAATTATTTTTTTCTCATAGTAAGCATGATAAAATTTAATATCACATATTACAGTTATGAAAATTATCATATCCTTCACAAATCTTATGAATTAATGGTAATAACCTTGTGAACAAAATTACCATTTTTTTATGAACATGGTTGATTTATCTTCCTTTTATATTTTGAGATCATTTTATGCAATTTTTAAATTTGGAAAAAAGAAAATTGAAAGAATAAAAAAATGACATCAAATTAAAACCTTATATTGACATGAATATTGATTCATTTTCCTCTGTTTTTTTTTTTTCCCACACAAACATATACATACTATGGTAAAAACCAGACAATGACAATGGTCAAGGATCAAAGACTTGAGCTTGGTCTCCTAGTTTAGTAATGCATATAGGGTTAAATGACATTTTTCCCTTCAACTATTCACTTAGGAATATTTAATATCCTAAATTTTTATGTGAAGCAATTTCTTCTATCAACATTTGAAAATGGTACAATAAACATCTTGCTATTAAAAAAAGTTAACTTTGACCTTTAATTAACTTAAAAATTACAAAAAATGATCTCAAAAATTATAAAAAAAAACTCATAAAATTATACATAAGTACCTTATAAGAAAATTAATATCTATTAAATTCTCTAAATTTACATATAAATAACACAATACAAATTTTATTTCTTGCCATATAAAAGGCCAAAATATGCTTTTGACTAACCATTATTTTTGAAACTTAATTGATATTAATTTTCTGATAGAGTGCTGATTTGCAATTTTATATGTCCTTTTTTATAATCTTTTAAGTCTTTTTTTTAATTTTTTTAATCAATTAATGATCAAAGTTAACATTTTTAATAGCAAAGTGCCTAGTGCAATATTTTCAAATGTTGAAAAAAAATTACATTATATAAAATATTAAGATACTAGACGCTCTTTAGCAAATAGTTAAAGGGTCAAAATGTTCTTTAATCCATACATATAATCACATATAATATTCCTACTATTAGGACGAGGTTCCGAGTCCGACAACAAACTAAAATCTCAGTCTGATTTACGATGTTCGACAGCATATTTAGGCTAATTTATTTTGAAAAATAACAAATAAATCATATTTAAATAGTGAAATGATAAAATGTACCTCAAAATGAGATAATTACTCTAAAGTTTTTGGATACTTGTGTGACATAGTTCTTTATAAATTTATATCTCCAACCCTCTCCAAAAAAAACAGAAATTATAATTATTAAAATCTAAAATGAAATTGTTAATAATGAAGATAAAGTTATCAATAAAAATAAAATGTAGTTGTAATTGCATAAATTTAAGTTATGCAATAACACGTACACTTCATATCTTAACAACTTCTTTTCAATAATTAATAACTTTAGTTTAGGCACCAGCACCCAGTTGATCAACATTTTAGTTTAGTTATGCAATAACAACTACGCTTCTTATATTAATAAAGTTACCTTCACCATTAACAATTTCAATTTATGTTTGACAACACCACTTTCTATTAGTTTGCATAGGGTTAGCAACATAACTTCCCAAAAAATTATGTCAAACAAGTTTCTAGAGATTTTAGAATAATTATTTCATTTCATTGTACTTTTTTTATCATGTTTTACCTACTTGCGTAGGGTTCATTTGTCATTCTCCCGATATATGTCTTCTTAATTTTTATTATATGTCCCTTGGAATAACAAAAGCAATGGGACTATACATCAATTATTATATGAGTTGATTTATTAAATTGATATTTTATATGGAACACATGCTACAGGAGGAGGATAGATTGAGACCGCTGCAAATGATTATGACGGCCCCTAAGGAATTAACCAAAGCCGCAAGAAAATGGTCCAAGGCTACGACTTTATCAATATGCTTGTTATGACTTGTCTCTAACAAATAACCAAAGCTCACATCAAAATTTTAGTATTTTTGTTTTTTAAAAAATAGTATCAATAAACAACAAATTAAACATCATGTATCATGCTCTTGGATTCATACATAGACATATACCCGTGAAAATTGTGCACAAGAACCAAATGATCATTAAAAAAAACATTTGGGAGGAACTGATAGCATTAAAATATCATATTTAATATCAATGAATTTAAAATGTTTTGTTTGGGTTGTATAAAAAAAAATTTAAAAATAAAAGAGAGGCTTGCTGAGATTTGAAGTAAAAATGAAAGATTGAAAGTGATGAGCTTATATCTATTTTTCTATTGATGAGAGATGAGAGCAAGAGATGAGAGGAGAGGCAGGAATAACATATGTGCCGATAGTGAAAATATAAAGAAAATGAAAAGCTTGGAATAGCTAAAATTTTAAATAATTAACATATAAATAATATTTAAAATTATAAAGAATTTATGATAACGTATGGATTTGTATTTGAAAACTTGTTTGTGTGTGAGGGATTTTAAAATTCAAATTCTCATACATCCAAACACAATACTAAGTTTTTAAAATCTACAATCAAATTTCAAGAATTTGCATTGATGAATTTTGAAATTTAATTACAGATATGTAATATACCTTCAATAATGTTTTAAGACAGGGGAAAATCACAATCAAGGATCCATGAAGATAATTAATTATATTGTAGGAATAAGATCAAAGGACATAAATATAATTAAAATTTATTGTAAAAAGATAATTGATTGTCGTTAAAATAAGAATAAGACTTATTTTTTTTTAATGGAGACTTGTTCACCCGCTTATAACAATTCTTCTGTCAAATTAATATTTTGTAATTATTAATGAAGGAATTGATTGTTGTTAAAAGGAAAATAAAAAAGTTTTTTTTTAAGAATAGAAACTTGTTTAGCGAATTACAACATTAGTTTTTTTCTATCACTAAGTCAATTTTTTGGAGTTATTAATACGAGAATTGATTATTGTTAAAATAAAAATGAGATTTTTTTTTAAATGAGGACTTATTCACCAAATCATAATACTTGTTCATTTTCACCACCAAGTTAATTTTTTAAAGTTATTAATAAGAGAATTGATTATTGTTAAAATACAAATGAGGTTTTTTTCTTTTCAAATGGAGAGTTGTTGTTAAAAAAAATATATAATATATACATAAAAAGTATTTTACCTTTTCACAATAAAAATAAGTACTTTAATTCTGTAAAGTAATATCAAAATGATTTAATCCGGCAACGTAATTAATTGTTTTTAGGGTTCCCGATGGTGAGTTTCCCTTAAGACAGTCCATTCTCTGGAATCCCCACAGTTTTCTCAATATAATCTGTGTCAGTGTAAGCTTTCAACGAAGGAGGGAATCAGAACAAAGGGCAAATCAAAGAGGCACTTCATTTTTCACAAAAAGTTGAAATTGTAGAAGACAAATGTTTCTCTATTATTGTAAATATGTTTTTTTTTTGCCTGATATTGTTGTATATATGTTCAAACATCACAGCTTCACTCATGACAAATGGCACCGGCCTTAGGGACAAGTTAAATTAGATGTTGACGGGTCAATCCAAAACAATGTGGGCAAATGTAGTGGACTTATCAAAGATAGTGAGGCTGATTGGATCACCAGGTTTAACTCGTGTTGGTACACTTCTTGTGGCAACAATTAAAGCTGGTAATTTGAAGATAAACTTGATACGTTAACTTGAAAAATTTAAAATCGAGCCCAAATAATAATAATTTATAAATATTTAGGCTTATTCGATCTGGCTCAAATAAGCTCGAGAAAATTCAGGCCAAGCTTGACCTTGAATATCAAAATAAAAAATAATTACTTTTAAAACTATATAAAATATAATAAATATTGATTAATTATTCAAGTTTTATATCATTTTATATTAAAATATTATATATTTGAGTGTATTGCTGTAGTTATATTTTTAAAAAATTAAAAATATTTATATTTTCATATTTTTATTATTCTTAATCAATAAGATATCTTAAAATAATATTTAAAATATATTTTAAATATTAATTTTATATTTTAAGATCTAATTTTTTTAAAAAAAATTTGAGTCCTATATATCATTTGAGTATCCTAAAAAATATATTTTATATTTTTATAAAATAAGATAATTAATTTTAAAATAAAAATAAAATTAGAGCATGTATAAATTCCTGGCTCTATTACTAAATAAATATAATAAATAGAATAATATTTTTAAATAATTATTTAATTATTATCCATGTCAAACTTAGTTAAGAATTAAGAATAAATAAGAGTAAATACTCCTTGTATGTAGGGGTCAAAAATATAAAAACTTAAAGAAAAAATAATTTTAAAAAATAATATTTTACTCATAATTAAATGATGTTCTTTTATATAATATAATGATGACAATTTTTATCAAATAATTAAAAAAAGTATAATTTACCTAAAAGTTATTAAAAATTTTGAATTAATAGGAAAAATCATGGATATTTTTAAAAAAGTATATTTAATGAGGGTGTATTTGAAAAATCATGGATATTTTTAAGAATTTAAAGTTTCAACCAATATTGTTATCGTAAATTAATTAAATATAACTTGTACTGTGATTTAGAGGGAGTATTATATTCTAACTAACATATATAGAATGGTCTAATATCTGTGCTCTTCACTATCGTGAGATCTAAACTGTTTAAATCAAATTTACTTTATACAGTATAGATTTAAATTTTTTAAATTAATTATAATTTTTAAATAATAAATTTATTTATTGACATAGTGATGATTGTTAAGAGATTATCTTTATTTATTTTTTTTACTTACATATATGAAAATAAAAATTAACCAATAATATGAAAAATTAAGATTAAAGGTGCTCATCATAGCCTTCAGATTAGCCTTTAAATAGAAGTGTGGCAACACAAAGAAAGCAGTACATGTGCTGCAGTGATATTGAGTGAGGACCATAATATAGCAGCAGTACTGAACTCTTTAACACCATCTGAGCATGGACGTCGCTCAAGTACTGCACATGAATGAAGGCACTTCCCAAACAAGCTATGCAACCAACTCTCTGATACAGGTATGCGCAAGCGTGTGTGTGTGTGTATTCACAGACACAACTTTTATGTGTGTGTGTGTGTGTGTGTGTGTGATATAATTTGGTGTGTGTGTGCGCACAGCAAAAGGCGATGTCATTAACAAAGTCCATAAAAGAGGAAGCCATAACTGGTGTCTACAAGACGACGCTTGCTTCAAGCTTGGCAATTGCAGAATTGGGCTGTTCTTCAGGACCCAATGCTTTGTTTGCGATTCAACAACTGATTAAAGCTGTAGAGAAGCTCTGCAGCAAGCTGAAGCGTGAGTCTCCAGAGTATCGGATCTTCTTGAACGATCTTCCTGGAAATGACTTCAACGGCATCTTCAAGACAATTGATAGCTTCAAACGACAGCTGAGTTGTGAAGTGGAAGGTGGGGTTGGTTCATGTTTCATTGTTGGGGCTCCTGGTTCGTTTTATAGCAGAATCTTTCCTGCTAAATCCCTGCATTTTGTTCATTCCTCTTATAGTCTTCATTGGCTATCTCAGGTGCGCACGTGCATGCACATGTATATTCTCTCTGTTTAAGTGACTGTGTGAATTTCAATTAGATATAATAGATTATAAAAATAATTAATTAAGTGATAGATTTTAATCATAATTGATTATGTTATAACGCAATCTGTTTGTATACTATTTTTTTAAAATTAATTTTAACAAAATTAAAAATATTTAAATAATTTAATCAGAATCAATTTTATCTATATAAATTAATATATAATTTAATTCTTAAATATTGAAAATTAATTTTTTGATGATATAAAATTTGAATTTTATTAAGGAAAAAAAAGAGAGAAGAGAAAAGAGTTTAATTTTATTTTTATTAAATTATGTGTTTTATTTGTAAATTTTTCATGGGCTTTTTTTTGTAATTTTTTTCAATATATTTTGATAAACTTTTGGCAAAAGCTGATTCCATCCGCTTACAGGAAAATGTGCATAATACGTCAGAATTGATTTTTGTCTTTCTTTTTTACTGTTTGGATAATTTGCTTGAAAAATCAATTTTGGAGGGGGAAAATTAATTTTTTTTCTCTTATCCAAACACATTATAAAATGGACAAGTGTGGGTAGATTTTAGTTGGCATGGAAGTCTCTTTTCAGATAAAGAACACAGTTGATTTTAATATGTATATATATATATATATATATATATGAAATAAAATTTAAAGAACTCATAAATTTAAATTTTGCAATTTTGGATTAAATTATTCTACATCAAATAAAGTTCAGTTTAATAAATTATACTCCCTCCAATCCTATTTTAATTATGTAACAAAGAGAAAAGATTTTTTTACCTATTTCACAGTATTATTTTTTTTTGTTACAAATTTTTTCCTTTACTATCCATTAAATATTAGTGAAAGAAAGTATGTTATTTGTTTTTAATAAAATATATTTAATTATAAATATGATCAGGAATGAACCCACGTTATGTTTGTGGGGGGCCTCCCCAACTTACTTTTTTCATTGAGGAAAAGGAAAGCAAAGAACCAGAAAAGGTAGGGATGTGTGTGAATTGCAGTGCAGTGCTTTGGCCCCTCTTAAAAATCACACCTAGTTCTGCCCCTAGATGGGACCAAAGGGGTGTGTGTGTGTCTATATATGTAAATGCTTGGAAGAACCCCTAAACTTTAATTTTAAGAGTTTGGCTTAAGATGCGATATGTATTTTCACTTTTTTAATGAACTGGCTCACATTTAAAGGAAATAGGATATATATTTTTATATATGTGAGATTGATTAATTATATTGGAGGATGATTTTTGTATTTTAGGTTCCTGAAGGTGTAGAGAACAACAAGGGCAACATCTACATATCAAGAAGTAGCCCCTCAAATGTGGTGAAGGCATATTATGGACAATTTCAAAGAGACTTTTCATCATTTCTCAAGTGTCGAGCAGAGGAAGTAGTTGAAGGGGGTAAAATGGTCCTAACATTCTTGGGAAGAAGAAGTGATGACCCTAAAAGCAAAGAGTGTTGTTATATTTGGGACCTTTTGGCTCATGCTCTCAATGACATGGTCCTTGAGGTAGGAACCCCCAATACCTTTGCACAAACTAGAGACTATATTATTGATTAAAATTCTTCACATTTAGGCTCAGTTTGGTTCGCTGAAAATAAGCCTTGAGAAAAGGAAATGAAAAGGAAGTCAGTAAAATCCTTTGACTGGTTGGCATGAAATTTGATGCTCAGCAATCAAAATTCAAGGAATAAGCTAAAGAGTGGAAATTTAATTCCCACCTCATACATATGATTTGGATTTTTAACATGATTTCTACATTGTTGGTTGATTACTTGATTATGAGTTTACATGATTTGTTCTTGATTCTAGTCTCGGTTGAGTTGTCATCAATGAGTAAGGAGGAAGAGGGCAAAATTAGTGTGAAAGTGGATAAAGATAGTATTGTCGTTTTCATGTTTCTTTTTCTTCAATATTTTTCATCAAAAAATAAAGAAATGTTGATTATAGCTTTCCCTTGGTGGGGTTGTTGTTGTAGGGACTCATAAAAGAAGAGCAAATGGATGGCTTCAACCTTCCTAACTACACACCTTCTCCATCTGAAGTGAACTTGGAGGTAGTTAAGGAGGGTTCCTTCACAGTGAATCACATGGAGGTTTCAGAAGTGAGCTGGAAGGTTGCTTGTGGGGAAGAAGACTTCAGTGATGGTTATGGATACAAAGTTGCACAGTGCATCAGAGCTGTGTATGAACCTTTGGTTGTCTCTCACTTTGGAGAAGCTATCGTTGAACATGTTTTCCGACAATACCAAGAGATATTAGCCGATCGTATGTTGAAGGAAAATACTGTGTCCATCAATGTCACTGTATCCATGACCAAATTAAACTGACTACAAAAGAAATGACTTATGGCAGTCATAAAAAAAGTCACCACGAACTTTCAACATCGATACACTGCTGCTTCCAAAACATTGTAGTCAAAAGTAGGCTTTTGACAATGTTGTTTTCATAACACTTCATCGTGGAGTAGACAAGTTGTTCGTGATTTTAAGATTATGTTTACTGTGTTTTATTAATGTATGCAGGGTAATTATGGATGGTGTGTCTATAAATAATGCTATGAATGAGTCTGGATCGAGAAACATGATTATGGTTATTAATATTGAAAATCAAGTACTCTTCTTAGTTATGGTTATTGATCTTATGATGATGAGTAATAGAAATAACTGATTTAGCAAGTCTAATCTATTACTTAGCATTCTTGATTCTTGAGTGTTGCTAAAAGTGATACACAGAAAAGTTATTATGGGAACTGTTAAAAACTTTTTTTTTTATTTGTATGAGTGGATAATAGTTAAAAATTGTTGCCAATCTCAACATTCACCTAATAACCGACAAATGACAACAGTTTTGTTGTATGTGCCTACAAAGTATAAAAATATACTCTTACCATTTTGATAAAGAAAAAATCTAAAATGTGTCAGTATAATTAATGAAATTTTTAACATTTTTAATAATAGAGAATTTTTTATTCCAATTTTAAAATATTTTCAAGTAATCTAATTTCAAGTTCAAGTTTTTGTTCTTGTTTTTCTTTTTTTTAAAAAAATCCACAAAAATGGTGTTGGACCAATGACTCTTGCAAAAATATTTGAAGAAAATATTTTTTCCTAAATATTACTCTATAAATAATATTACAAATATATGCAATCAACTCATTACTTAAAATTTTAATAAATTACTTGAACTGTTCTAAATTTAAATCTCTTTGTCAGTATATAAATGAAAAAGAAAAAAAGAAAATCAATTTCACCTGTACACTTTGGACTGAATCCGTATAATACAAGTTGCAAGGCATGTACACAATAAACTACTCAAACTAGTGGCGGATCAACGACGCGATGTTGAGGCAATTGCGAACCATCTTGCTAATCAATTCATGGAAATCCACAACTGGTGAATCCTTAACGTCCTTAAATGCATTGTCGCACGTCGAGATATCCAAAACGACGGTGCTTAGCAGGCTATTGACCATGCCGATATTGCAAGCCTAAAGTGCGTCCAATGCATTTTGTAGTTTATCCAACACCTCCTTGTAGTTATCCTGGCACTCAACTAGCGGAGGAGAATGAGAAGAAGCATCCTCCCACGACATCATTTTGCCAACTGTAGAATAACAAGAGAGGCTCGAAACGGCGTCGTGCAGCGGCTCGATGCAGGCCTTTATCGAAGCTTCGAGCACTGACATAGGGTTCACGTCATCACCGTCATCGCTGGTGGCAGAGGAAAGCATAGGGGAGACCCTGGAAATGCAGGTTTCAAGATAGGCTGTGGAATTGCAGATCAATTTCAGTGCTGGATTAGGTTTAGGGTTTGATTCCGGATAAGGCGATATATTGAGATTAAGCTTTGGGATTATCGCTTGCTTCAGAATTTCTGTGATAGAACCAGAAAGACTTCCTGCAGATGAGGAGAGAGGATCCAAATTGGGAGCTGAAAATTCTTGAGAAGGATCTGATAGTGGATCAGAGTTTAGGGATGATAAAGAATCGACAGTGCTCCGAGCCGTGCATTGAAGGAAGAGGAAGAGGAGGAGAATGACGCAGAAGAGTAAAAGGAAGAAGGAAAACTCTCTGGTTCTGAACATGGCCGAGAGAAGGGATGACGAAATGAAGATGAAGAAATGAAGGATGATTAATTAATTATTAATTTTAATTAAAACTAATAATAATAATTAGAGACAACTTTGAATTTTTCAGGGATTTTGATTTACCCACCGTTAAAGGCAAGGGACCGTAAAGAGGTAAACAGGGTTTACTTTATCCAGGAATAGCATAACCTGGATGTGGTTTTCAGAACCTTAGGATTCGGGTGAATTATAAAAGACAAAAGTTGCCTGTGCTCAAAATTAACGGCGAAAATGTAGGTAATGCTACAAAAAAATTTATAAAAAAATATTAATTTATGTGCTAATGGGGTTCCGTGAACACCTTTAGCACTATCCCCCACCCTATGTTTAAAATAGAGGGATATTAGGTTGTGTTTGGATGGATGTGTGGATTTGAATTTATAAATTAGATTTGAAATTTCATATTTAAAATTTTACATTTAAAAATTATAAATTATAATTTTTTTATATTTAGATAATATATAAAATTTTTTAATTATAATATTACAATTTTTTGTTTAGATATTAAATAAAATTTCAAATTTTAAATTTCAAATTTCATGTTTGAATTTAAAAGTAATTCGGACAACTTTGACAGTCCAATTCTAGTCAAAGTCAGTGGTCCATTGCAAATCATGGGTGACGCCCCTATCTTAGTTGACTCTAACTGTTAGAACCAAAATGACATCAGTAGTCCAATCTCAATTGACAGCAACAATCCAATCTTGGTCAACATTGGTAATTATCCCAAGATGATTGCAGTAGTCTAAGAGCTACATATTAGACTTAGATGACAACACTAGATCATTTCTTATTAACAACAGCATTCTCGCACTGGATGGGCATCAAATGACGACAACTATAACATCATAATTTTTAGATAATAAATAAATTGTAAAATTTTAGTTTTTGTTGAAGACTTAAAATTAGGAATTTATATTGTTTTGAAGTTTAGAATAAATAAATTCATATTTGAGGTTATTTGGAGTTAATTACATACTTAGGCATTTAAATATGTATTAAATTTAGGCTTAGAAACATATAAGAGATGTTTATTAGCTTAATTTATAACATAATATATATATATATATATATAAAAGGGACTCAAAAACCACTTCCGGTGGTTATGACTTTTGCTACCTTAAAATAAATGACTGTGATACTCACGTCTCATTATAAATAGCACCTCCTATTTCTCATTTTTCACATAGCCTTCTTCCTCTTCTTTGTCTTTTTTCTCATTTTTATTTCAACTTCTGTGTAGCATTGTTCATTTTATTCAAATAAGGTTTTAAATTTTTATATCATTTAGGTGTTTAAAATGACTTTCATTTTTCAAGATCTCTTGATAAATATTGTCCACTCATCAAGAGTTGTCTAACAGTAACATTATTTTGATGAATAGAGAAATTTTTTTTTATAGGATAGTTAATCCAGAGTTTTGATAATTTAAAAATGAATGTTGAAATTGCTGGGGGTGTAATAAATGTTAAAGAACTTTTTTTAAGGTTGGAAGTCAAATTTGAAAATTTTTGAGTTAGACTCTAGAACTATATAATTGAGTTTTTGTTAGATATGAGATGTTATGATGGATTTCTAATGTTTAGTCATTTGAGTATGAAAAAAATGTTTTATAAAGCTACAAAATAGTGATTTGAGGTTTGAGGATAATTTTTAAATTTTTAATTTTTTATGAATTTTTGCAAAATAAACCTGTGAAATTTTGATATTATGATTGATTTAAGACTTAAGTATGGTCTATTAGGGTATGAGAATTTAAAAAAATTTAAAAAATTAAATGAGGCATTAATTTTAAATTAGCGTTAATATGAAAATTAGGTCTAAACTTTCTAACTCTTTAAAGTAGAATTATTTATTAATTTTAATATAAAATTAATATTTAGTATTATGAAATTAATATTATACATCCATTACAACCAGCATTCAATTCCGAAAAGAAATTCAACTTTGATGTTTGTGGCTTGTGATATTTGGGCTCAGCAACACTTGGCTTTTGGGTGACTGTTAGGAGCTTGTTGGCAATGAGAAAGATGAAGGTGGAGAGAGGAGGAACAACAGGGGATGACAAAGGTAGAGGGGAGGGAGGTCTACAGCAATTGATGGAGATTAAGAGGCCGACAGCAAGAGGAGGGAGGAAGGGCAGTGAAGGCAAATGAAGGAGGAAGGAGGTGGTGATGACTTCCATAAAGAGAGGAGGTGTGAAGAAGAAGGGGAGAGAGGGATATTTGAGTAAACTGATGGCAAGGAATGGGGATTACTCAGGTTTTTTAATGTAGTCCCTATTACCACAAATAATATAATGAGGATGCTTAGTAGAACGATCTTTACAATGCAAAACGGCAACTAAACATTCAATATGTGGGAATTGCATCAAGATTACATGTAATTTAACTAAACAGGCACTAAAAATTACTTTCAATTTAGTTTGACAATACTCAAAACTAACTTAAATAGATAACCATATAAAAAATATTCTTCTGCATCATAGATCTCTATGCTGTCTTTAGTGAAAACTTTTTCTCAATGATGAGCAACTATTTGTGATTTCACTCTGTAAATCCATACTAGCCTTTCTAATATTGATTAATACCTTAATATTAATATTATTTTCTTACCTTCAAATTGATACATTCTAAAGTTGAATTTGATTAGGATAGAGAATCAGAATATTGTGAAAAGCATTGGGAAAAATAAGCACAATTAAGGAAGATGAAATCAATGTTGGACCTATTTTGGGTGAATCAAGCAATGGGATCAATGGTGGAATCGAGAATGTTAGAACTTAGAATGAGAAGGATGGCAACACAAAAGAAAATTGCAAGGATTTTGGGTGTGAAGAGAAGCTCATTTCAAGCAGTACAAAAAATGTGAGCATACCAAAATGTTCTCTAGAATTGTCGCTGCTCGTTGACGATGATGTAGATGGTTTTGCTGATGATGAAGCAGAAGCAAATGAAGAGGAGGATGCTATGGATGAGATGGTTGAAATTGAAATGTTGGAGAGTTTGGATGAGACGTTCCAAATTTTTTTTTTTATTAATCAACTTTCCAACTCAATGTCCCACATGTACATCTGTTGGTCAAACAAAGTCATTTAACGGTCAACGTCCTTGGCAAAAAATTAAAAATGCCAAGCGCCTTTAGAAAAAAAAATTGGGACATATTTATCTTTTAACCAATAAAAAATATAGATTTTCAAATTTAAATCTATATTTTAACGAAGAATATTATTTTTCAGACATCATTTCCCATGTTTTTAAACAAAGAATGCTCATTTTCCATCTTTTCAAACCATGCATGACACATGATCACCGTTGACATCTATACAACTTTTGTATAGAACATATGCTTTTCATCCCAAAAATAATGAACATACAAATTGTTAGGTTAGGTTTATATGTCCATTAATATTATTTTCTTACCTTCAAATTGATACAGCTTGAACCTTTGTAATTTTG